GATGATTTTCCGCTGTGTAATTTTCATAGAAACTTTCTAGGCATCTCTTTGCGGATTTCTCATAAACGATATTTTTTCATTCTCTCCTGATTAGGTTTTCGACAATTGTCTCCTTGATGGCGTGTTTGGGGAGGTGAAAAAGGGTATATGGGTGTCATTTTTGGTGGGAAAAAAAAATTTGGGCGGCTGATTTTAAAAATCAGGAAAGGGAAGAGTTTTTGGGTGGAGTTTGGGGTATGTAGTGGTGGATTTTGGTAACCCTAGGGTATGATTAGTGCTGACCTGGCTCGATTAGCGCTGACCTGGCTCTGACACTAAATCCAGGCGTTTACCCAAACCACAATAGGAAAATCAAATGTTATTGTTGAATTCAAAATAAAGAAATACAATCACTCAAATGAAAATATAAATAACAACAAACACGACATAAATGCTACTAGGGATGTCTTCCAAAAGGATGGTGATGGACTATATGAGACGGAGGGGCGTTAGAAGACTGCAGTTGGATGGTGGGATTTGGTTGTGGTGGGATGGAACAAGATGGGAGGAAGGCCGCGGCTAGGAGGCTGAAACTGAAATCTTGGCTATGGCGGGATGACAATAGGTTGGGAGGAGGACTGCAACAGGGAGGCTGGAGCAGGGTGGCAACTGGGAGGGAGAACGTGGCTGGCTGTAGGGCGGCGATAGGATTGCAGGAAAACTGTGGTGGGTTGTCTGGGTGACTGCAACATGGAGGGAGGATAGAGTTAGCAAAGGAAGGATGTAGAGAAGGATAGATGAGGATAATAACTACCGCGAGAGCTAGATATAGCCAGAGTACCACTTGTCCCTTGGATACAATTCTAGAAGGGAAAAACTAATATGCCGGCGACTGTCCTGAACAAAAACGCAAAGAAACTACTGATCCAAATCCTAATACAACCCATATATAAGGGAAATGATTAGAGAAGAAGTTGGAAAAAAATGAATGTTGTCTGGTTCGGTTCTACTTCATTCACAGGAATTGGCTGCCTGACTTGCACAGACATGGGATTGCACGATCCCCTCGCTCTGAGACACTCACGCTTCCGCATTAGATAAAGTAATTTAAAAATTTTGACTTGCATTTTTACATCCTAAAACCTCCCATTTCTTGAAATAGCTTCCAATTCATATCTTTCTACAACCTAGCTAAATGCACAAATTTGTGAAACTTTATCCTAGATATCCAATAAACATTTGAATTATGGATAACCATCCTTTGCAAATAAGAAATCTCTTTAATTTTCTCAATGAAAGATGATTGACCCTTTAAATAACGGCATTATTTTGTGGAGTGATTTTAGTACAACTTAATTCTCTCTTAAATCTCCTTTCCTATTTTTTCTTGGTTGCCCTCTGTATTCTAACGAAATTTAATTTGCAAATTTTGCAACTATAGCTTTTGTTATATTTATTTTTAATTTAAGATTAAATTCATAAAATTTCTTAAGAGCCTTCTAGACTAGATACGTCTGAATCAAGAATAATAAAATTTTTAATATTGCAATTCAATCGTGCTATTTTATGTTTCTATTTAATTCTGTTCATGTCGATTGTTTTTTTACATTTTTTTTTGGATCACAATAAACATAGTCAATCTTGTTGGTGCATGGCTTTGTTGTCTTCCACCCTTTCTCCATTGCATTAACTAAAATCCTTCGAGCAAATAATATATCTTCATTGGATCTCATCTGGATTGGTCTCTTTTATTTTAGGAGTAATGCCAAAATGACTTGATTTATTATCGAAACTAAAACCTATTATTATGATGTATTTAAACTGGAGGGCAAATATCTCACTGTTTTACTCTAGTTTTGAGTATGGACTAAGGTGCCTTTGAAATAGAAAAATATATGGTGATCATTCCCTTGAGTACTTTCAACTCACCTTCGTCATACCTCTGATTTGACTTTTATTTTCCTTCCAATTCTCATGAAAAAATAGTTCAAATTTACATCTGCGTGAATGAGTCTGAAGCTTCATAAAGCCTGCCTAGCTCAATCAATTGGGATGGTGCTAATTATGTTGTTTTTGATGGATTGCTTGGAGTTTGTCGATTCAATTTATTTGCTTGTAGCTTTAGTACACATTATGAAAATCTTTAGATATTTCAGATGAGGTCAATTTATTTCATGCACTCTACTGCTAATAAGTAAACTGGTAACCATTGGCTGGCTAAAGATCTTGACTAACTCTTAGAATCAGGTAGAAATAAACTACAGCTGGCAGGCAACACTTTAGCATTCTCGAGCTACATCCAATTTGAAAATCGATGTAATTCATTAAAATCATTCATTATATTTTTGTTTATAGTTAGTAGTGATTGTAACTGTAATAATAATAATGAGTAGCGAGGACAAGCGTCTCTTAAACTTTGACTTAAGAGCCGTATATCCTCTTTCAAAGCAACGAAACAAAGAGAATGAGAACACGAGAGAAGAAAATGAGATTGAGAAGGGGAAATGGAAAAAAAATCATTGCCCTAAGAGAAGAAGAGTTAAGAAGAAGGAGAAATGAGGCCCTAGTGTCGTTGTCGTGCGTGAATGAAGCAGAGTGGTGGACAATCTGTTCTTCTGTGCTTGCGGAAGGTCAGGTCGAGCCGCTTGTGGAGGAAGGAGAGGCGCGGGTTTAGGTGACGCTGCGTTATCTTTGTTGAAGCCAAAGAAGAGTCGAAGCATCGTTGCTTCACTTGCAATGACGTAATCGAGTTGAGCTTGAAGGAAGGAGAGAAGCTTTTGGGTTCTTGCGGGAGAAGAAACTGAGCCTCACATGCGGAGGAAGGATTTTATGTGGGAAGAGGGGTCGTGTGTGAGTGAAGGGAGAGCCGAGCTATGGATTAAGCAATGTTGTGTTTTTTAATATAAGAAATTTTATTTATTTAACTAGATGTTATTAAAATTGACTTTTAAACATTATTAATGAACATCAGTGATTAAATTTGAATAAGCGTTCGAATTAAAGGAAAAAAGGAGGCGGGTTCGTTTTTAACCCTAGCATTCCAATTAAGGTAAATTGGGTCAAGGTTTGCTTTAATTACTTATTAAGGAAATGCTTCAATTTAACATCAAAATTCTTATTAAAATGTTAATTAAAAATTATAAGCAGAAGGATAAAGTCTTAATCAAGATCAATTGTAAAAGGGAATTCAAGGGGAAGAGGAAGACATTCAAATTTCATGTGAGTAATTGCTTTCTTATTTTATTATTAAATTAATAATTTATTTAAAAGTTGTATTTTAGAGATAAATGATTTTTATAACATTGGTAAAAATGAACTTACAATATTAATTTAAAATTAGATTTCTTTTATGATTTGCATTTTGAATGTTTGGAAGATATATCACAAATGGAAAAAAAGAATTGAAATGTGAAATTACGTTTAAATGATTTTAACTTGATATTAAATGATAAGAAGTAAAGGCTTAAGTCAAACGAGATTTACCCCTTTATGTTACCAGCTAAGGATGCTATTTTAACTGTGCATTGAAAAGAAAAAGAAAATGGTAAAGACGTACCTTTGGGTGCAAGATTTTGAGTGTACATATAAGTACAAATTTTTTTAGGATACCTTCAAATATGATGGTGATTCTGATATGACTCATTAAAAGAAAAGAAAAAAGTTAAAAAGATAAATGACTTAAATTAAATATGAATGATTAATTTAAAATGAAAGTTTACAGTTTGATTAATTTATTCACATTTCTTTTGGACATTCATTTATAACATTTGCATATTAATTTAATGCATAATAAGATTGTAATTGTTCACTAAGTTGTGGTAAACTTA